AGAACCGGGGCTCCTGAGAACTGAGGGTCTGTTCTTTCGGTAGGCCTCTCAGTCTTTCTTCACCAGGGCTTATTTCTGCGTGTGGCTTCCACTCCCCATCCCCATTCACACGGCCACACATGGCTGCGTTTTGTGAAGTCGTCCTGTTTCTCAGCTCTTTTCAGCTGTCTCCCACTCTTGATGGTCTCCAGTGCTCTTCTCCTCCTTGTAATAGTGTTCATCTGTGTTATCCCGACTTTCTTCCTTCACCTGTCACACACAAATGGCTTTCAAGCTGCAGTTTTAACCTCAAGTTAAGTTGTCACTCTTTTACTTCTGTGAATGAAGGTCCCGTGTTGTGTTTCATGTTAGGAAACTGCCTGCTAATCCCCCCTTCCTAAATGGTTACATGAGAGGATGTTCTGTTCTGTTAAATGCCTTTTCCGCCTAAATTGAGATGCCTGTGAGGTTGGCTTTTCCTGTTAACCTGTAATATTGGTCAACTTCAGTCTTTGTAAGGTGGCATCTAACGTCATTAACTTTCTTAAGAGACACTGCTTACGATAGGTAAATTGCTCTTTTTAAGCAGTATTAGCTGCTTGAGTTGGGGTGAGTTCTGCATCTGTCCTTCATGTCACTTTCTGAGAGGTGAAAATACACAGTCATTTGTGATTACAGTCTGGTCTGCTCCCTCTGGAGCCAGGTACCAAGGTCCCATTCTGGGAGTGCATGTTGGTGTTGCCAGATTGCTGCCCTTCTGGAGAGTAGGCAGGCCAAGGGTAAGTGACACCACAAAATATCTTACCATTTTAAAATTGCCTTTTTCTCTTCTTTTTTCTTTCTCTCTTTTTAAGGAAGTCATTTTAAAATTATAATATACACACATACATTGTACTTTGCTCATATTTTCCCCATTAGTCCTCTTATCTCCCTGTTTCTGCTGATCTTTTCCTCTCCTTCTGCTTTCATGTCATAGATATGTCATGATATGTGTGTGTGAGTGCACATGCTTGAGCACATATAACATCTAGGTTCTTTATGAAAGGGAGCATGCAGTATTTTTCCTTCCATTGTTTCCTCTGTTCTCTCTTCAGACCTCTTTCTCATTCTCTACCTTCATGTTTCTCTCTCTCTCTCTCTCTCTCTCTCTCTCTCTCTCTCTCTCACACACACACACACACACACACACACACACACACACACACACACACACACACGTATAAAAACCTAGATCCCATGTTTGGGAGAAAACATTCGGTGTTTGAATCTGGCTTACTTTGCTTTTAACATTACCTTGTTCGTAGGTCAGTGTTCATGCACTGCTCAAGTCTTTACGTATTTCCTGGAGTGCTAGCAAAGTTGGTTCTGTAGGCTTTTTCTTTTTGGTGTTTCTGGGTGAGTAGATGCTTGGAGCTGCCTACCCTAACATTTTGCTGATGTCACTTTGTTCCTTTCTTTGCGGTTTTATAAAAATTGCTTCCATTTTTTTCATTTCTCTTTAGGCATTGTTCATTGTACGTTATCACTCAGATGTTTCCTGTAGAACTTTTTCTATTTATTTTTTGAGTTTTCCTACATTTTCTAGAGATTCCTTCCACCCCTGCCCAGTTGTTTTGTATTATTGTCGTGTGTCTAGTTATTTTCCTAAGATCTCTTAGTTTTCGAGTTCCCAGAGCTCCCTCTTCTGTTGGTTTTGTAAAATGTTTTATTTTTCCTTCTCCACTGCCCACCCCCCCCTTTCTTTTGTTGTCCTTTTAATCTTGATTCCATTTCCAGCAGCTCTCTGTCACTGAGCAGCTGTGTCTTGGAAGGCAGCTTTGGCTGGTTGCTTTTAAGAATTTCTATAGGGGAGCTTGTTTACCTGAGTGCGAGAGCCTGTGTTCACACTGAGAAAGCCTCTGGGTTCTACTGGGAACCAGGTTTATATAGTTACTGGGTTGAGCTAAATGTTTCCATTTTCAGCTTCTTTTCTTTTACTGTGCTTCAAACTGTTCCTGGAATACCTAGTAGCTGTTTTGTGATACTCAGGTCCAGTCAACCACACTATGTATGGTCATGCAGCTGTTTTCCCTGGTTTTGTTTCGTGGGGTTTTGGATTTTTTCTTTGTCTTAGTCACTCTGTTTGATTTTAGGTGATGATTGAAGTAAATTAAAAATGTGGTTTTGCAATATCTGCAGTCTACACAGAATTCATTCTGTAGTCACATTTAGAAACTCCTCTATGTGGTGCTGGTCTGTTACTGTTGGTACATACAGAACTGGGAGTGGTGCATGTGGAAAATCAGGTTCAGGCTCACCATCTGCTGGTAGCAAGTTTGAGGCTAGTCTGGAGTATAGGAGAGCTTGTCTTGAGGACTAAAGAAATAAACCTCTTCTATATATCTAGTTAGAATTTGTGGTGGACTGTGTCTGTGATATGATATGATATATATATATATATCTCATCACACAAATCATCTTATATGTGATACACACACACTGTCCTTGTGTTTTGTTTGGAAGCTTAGCTCTTTTTGGTGTTTGGATATTTGCAAAGCTTTTCAACTTTGAAAAGATTATAAAGAAGCAGTGTATCATTATAGTAGGGATTAAAGTATTTTCAGGTTCTAAATATTTCACATGAAAGTAGTGTACAATGTATGTACTTATAGAATCAATTAGCCTATAATAGGAATTTTGTGAAGTCAGATAATATAGTGTGTACAGTGCAGTGCTGTGACTGCATTGGTCAGCAAGAAATTAGGAAAAGTCATTGTTGGCACAGAAAACCTTTCACTTAGGAACCACCATCAATACATGATTTTAGGGAGCTCAAAGCTCACTTGGGAAAGCAAGAGTTAATTGAAGAATTAAAGCCTGAAAACAATGAAAGTACCCTTGTTCACCTTTGGTCTTCAAGTCACAGGTTTTTTTTTTTTTTTTTTTTTTTTTTAATGAATTTAGGACTATATACTTGTTCAACATCAAGGTGAATGCCTAGTGACTAGTGCAGGCAGTAGGACTGCTGGGGTGTTCTTTAGGGTGCTGAGAAAAAGGATAAATAAATCTACCAATACCTTAAAATTTTCAGCTGTGATCAAAACTGTTTTCTTTTAAAGTGGAAAAGAGCATAAAGAAGACTGTTTCTGGTTTGACAGGACCAACTGGTATACCTGCTTTCTGTGAACTCATTCAGGAGCTGTAAGCATAGTCTCTTCCAGTCCCTGGCAAACAAGCTAACATCTTTAGTTAACCTAACCTAAGAATAAATATGGTGATTTCTGTACAGTGTAGCTCTAATAATAACGGCATCATTTTAGAGGTGGTACAAAAGCATTGTTTTTAATTTTTATTGTTTTGAGAACAGCTGCCTTAGTTGTTCTCTTCTGCCTTGTTGCTGTGATAAAATATTCTCGACAAAAACAACTTGAGGGAGAAAAGATTTATTTTAACTTACAGTCCAGGTACAATAATCCATCATGACGTGAAGGTCAAGGCCTCAGGAACCTACCCTGTTTGAGTTCCTGTCCTAACTTCCTTCAGTGCTGAACAGCAATGTGGAAGTGTAAGCCGAATAACCTCCCTCATGCCCCCGGCCCCCAACTTGCTTTTTGGTCATGGTGTTTTGTCGAAGCAATAGAATAAATCGTTTATAGGTAGTATGGTAGTCTTTAAATTGTCGCCTGGGAATAAATTAAATGTAATGTTATTTTTACATTTTTAGCAAATTATTAGCCTTTGATGTGATAAATCTTGTGAGAGTGCTTATGAGATGAATAAAGGATAATAAAACATGAAAGTCATTGTGTGTAGTGGGGAAAATATTCTTTTGATTATATTATTTGTGCATTACCTCTGTAACCTTTGGAAAGATAATTTAACTTAACTATCACATTTCTTACTCATATATGAATCTATTAATATCTATATCATAGACTTCTTACTCTTGGGTTAAGGTCTCATTATATTGCTCTGGCTGACCTTGAGCCACTATGTAGCTCAGGCAGGTATCAAATTCAGATTCCTGAGTGCTGGGATTACAGGTATGGGCTACTATTTCAGAATTAAAATTCACCTTTTTAAAGTGTATAGCTTAGTACATTCATGGTGTGGTGCAACTATCACCTTTATTATATATTATCCCTATTTTTAGAAGAAACTATGTATCACTCAATCACCCTGCCGTCTTAGTCCCTTGCAACCATATATATACTTTTGTTTTTATGTATCGACACATTTGGTACGTTTTTCTGTAAGTGGACTGATCTAATATATGGTCCTTGGTGACTTGTGATGACTGCAGCTGCTTCTTCTCCTTTGCCATCTTCTCTGCTCTGCTGCTGGGGACTTAATCCAGGGCCTGTGCTTGACGAGCACTCTGTCGCTGAGCTGCACCTCCCGTCCATATTTGTCTTTTTCCTTTTCCTTTGAGACAGGGTCTTCATCCTTGATCTCCTAATCCTCCTGCCTAAGTCTCCTGAATGCTGAGATTCCAGCCACATGCTATCACACTCATCCCAACTTACCTTCTTTTACTTTGCATTGATGTCTTGTAGGCTCATCACATGAGGGTATATATGTAGTAATACTTGATTCTTTTGTATTGTCAAATAGCCTGGTGTGTGGATATGCTGCTTTTGTTTATCTGTTCAGTTGATAGACATTTCAGTTGTTTCTGGTTTTGATTATTATGAACACTGCTATTATGAATGTTTGTATGAAGTTTTGTGAAGACTTATGTTTTCTACTATTTTGGATAAATTCCAAGGAGTTTTTAGATTGTTGGGTTGTACTCTAACTTTATGTTTAACACTTATAACACAAACTGTTTTATAAGGTGGCTCCACCATATGTACAGTTAAATTTTAAACTATCCAGTTTAAAATTTTTATTTCCATGTATGTTGAATATTAACTGAAATGAGTCATTTCAGTTGATAGTGGAAAGGTTCTCTTGAAGTAGTTTGCAAAGTTGACAGTACTTTTTTAAAAGTAAGTTTGAAATTATTACTGTTAACCCTTTTCTTTTTCTTTTCTTTTCAGTTTTATCTCCAAGACACTAAAAGTAGTAATGGTACCTTTATAAATAGCCAGAGATTGAGTCGAGGCTCTGAAGAAAGTCCACCATGTGAAATTCTTTCTGGTGACATTATCCAGTTTGGGGTAGATGTGACAGAAAATACACGGAAAGGTATGAGTATGGATCAAGTTTTCCTGTAATTTGTCTTTATAAGTTTTAAAATCTTTATTAGTGTTATAAAACATTACATGCTTGTAAGATCTATTTAAATATGGATATGTGAAGCAAAAAATTTAAAAGTTATCCACTTCTATTTGCTTTTCTAAAATTATAAATTATAAAATATTAATTAGTAATGAATATTCTTCATCATGTTATAAAAACATAGGGAGCTATTGTGTCAGGAAGCACTTGGCTGCAGTGACATTACACCCTAGCCAAGATGAACTTACAACCTGGGGATGATGCTTATCATCAATAGCAAGAATTACTGAGACTTAATGAGCAGTCTGGACACAGAAAGTTGTTAGTTGACTTAATGATATAATGGAACTCAGTCACAAAAGAAGAAGAGAAATTAGCTGTAGGGGTACAGGAGGGGTAATGGACAAATTTAAGCTAAGTGCAGCAATAGATATACTTCTGCTCTTACACGTATGCATATGTATAAAAAGATATAGTTAAACTCATTATTTGTATCCCAACTAAAAAAACCATAAAAATAATGTAATGAATGTCTGATGTTTTACCCTAGATATAAATAATTATGGTTTTAAGGTCTTTACTTTTTTCTGCTATCTTTAGCATATTGTTTTCTCAATGCTTTTGCTTATCTCATGGTCAGAGGGTTATAACTGCAAACCTAGGTATCATTTTCCTCATATCAGTACTCCATGCAAAAAGATAATGTAGGGATAAAATGCCCTCTTCTGCCCCTTTTTATGTGGAAAAGTCAGAACCAAACTAATATTTCCTTATGAGTTACTGGCCTTATGAATAGATCACACACATAGTTATCTGCAGTACCAAAGAAACCTGATAATTGACAAAAAAGAGAACAAGGAGATCCATGGTTGATATAGCTCAGTTATGATTTGAGTATGAATTGTTAAAATCCCCAATGAAATCAGAGTTCTGTCAGCAAGAAAGAAGAAGAAAAGTCATGGGGGCAGGCGGTAGTACTGAATGCAAGTATAAGGTTTCCTGTGCTACAGTCTCTGAAACACAAGTTCTCTAACTAAATAATGCAAATTACTCTTTAAAATTATTTTATTTCACAATTCTGAAGCTTCTTGGCTCTAACTAGTTAGTTCATTGTCTACTCTCTGATTATGAACTTTTTTTTTTTTTTTTTTTTTTTTTTAGGTAGGGTTTCTCTGTGTGGTTTTCGTGCCTGTCATGGATCTTGCTCTGTAGACCAGGCTGGCCTTGAACTCACAGAGATCCACCTGGCTCTGCCTCCTGAGTGCTGGGATTAAAGGCGTGCGCCACCGCCGCCCAGCTGATTATGAACTCTTATGGCTGACTCAAATTTAAAGCACTTCTGGTACAAACCAAAAGAGCATAATTCATACAGTGGGGCAGTAGATCGGCAAGTTTCTCCCTCTGTTTTTCTGAGCGTGGTCTGGTCTAGTGGTGCCCTAAAGCATTAGACTCTGATATTTTGCACAGTACAGTGCACTTGGCGGTGGTGCTGACTCTCATTCTGTGTGTAGCTCTCTGCATAAACCTGCATTGCCATTAAAATGGTAGTCTTATTTTTGTTATTTTTTTTCTTTCTTTGTAAGATGTGTGTGGTACTTGAATTTGGGTAGGGCCAGCCTGTAGGAATTTCCATTTAGAGCTGTAAAGTAAGGTTGAATCTTGATGTAAAGTGTTGATTACTCCTTAGTAAGGGAACTCAGATGGTGTGAAGCCACTGAGAAGAGAGAAGAGTAAGCCTCTCTTTGCTGCTTTTGTAGCATACATGTAAGTAAGCCACAGCAAAAGACTTGGACTACATTGTATTTCCTTCAAGGATTCCTACTTAGTGATTTAGGGTTCTCAAATAATTATTAGGCAGTAATTGATAAAAGAATGTGGTTATCAGTTTTAGGAAATGGCTTAGTTAAGCTTTCCCTAGCAAAGCCTTCAGTATGCTGGCATATATGCAGATTTACAGGGGGTTGATTACAGAATGCAGCTTGCAGCCCTTTCTAGATTCCTTCACACTCTGCCCCATCTACTGAGGGAGATTTAGGATAATTATTAGTACAGTATGATTTCTGCATATTGGGTTTCTGCAGACCTCTTTGAATGTTTGTCTTTTGGCATTTATTGTTTTCACAAAGTTTATTTAATTTGTAGGCTCTTGAGATACAGACATGTTAGAAAACATGTATTACCTGTTCAAGCTTACACTAGAAAAAAGTATAGATTTTTTTTTTAATGCTGAATAGTAGTATAATGAGTTTTATAACACTTGAGAATCCTAAATACACAGTATTACTGGATAGCTCTGGGTAGAAGAAGTCAAGAGGATTTTCAAACTGTGTTAGAAAGGAGAGGCCACTTGTACATTGTGGTAAGTCCTTTAGTCAGACAACATTTACTGGGGCCTGGCATTCATAAGGCCTTGAACTATACATTCTCCTTTTAAACAATTACATACATGTATCTGTTTCCCACCTATGTGCATGTACCTGTGGAGGCCAGAAGATGTAGGATCCTTGGAGCTGGAGTTGTAGGTGGTTGTGAGCTGCACAGTATGGGTGCTGGGACTAGAGCTCAGGTGCTCTGAAGAGCAGCAAGTGCTCTGATTGCGGAGCCACTTTCCAGTCCCCCATTCTTTACTACTTCTTTTCTTCAGACAGGATCTCCTGTAGACCTGGCTGGCCTGGAACTTCTTATGTAAAACAGGCTGGTCTTGAACTTGTAAGAGACCTATCTGCCTCTGTCTCTTGAGTGTCTTCTTTACTTCTTATCCCCAGCCTATACCAGCTGCCTTCTTTATGTGTGCTTTCTTTCTTTCTTTCTAACTTTTTTTTTTTTGGCTTTTCCTTCCATTTCCAGCTTTCTAATCTTGTTTTGTTTGTTCCTTTCAATATATATCTCCTTCCCTGTCCATGCTTACTACAAATTCCCATGTTGGTTTTTATTATTTACATTGCTATGAATCCCTCCTTTTTATTTATATCTTTTTATTTATATGTCTGGTTTGTTTCCCTGTTGAGATCTTAACGGCAAGGACCTAGTCATAATCATCATTATTTTCAACATTATTCTCAATACTGCTTTGTAGCCAGCAATTTCCCAGTGAATATTTATTGAAAAGTAGGTAAACCCAGAGAACCCCCACATCTCATGGCCAACAAAAAGAATAAGCCAGTAGTAATATTACTCATGGTATGTTAGGAAAAATAAAGAAGTGAAATCTGTAAAATGAGAAAAATGACATTACCAACTAGGTAGAAATAAGACTTGTTGGAGAAACAGCAGATGCTTAATCCAGGTCAGTGAATACACACATTGAGCCTCGAAGATTTTTGTCATATCAGTAAAGTTACTCATCTAAGATTGCTAGCCTCCCATTAAAAGGACTTCTAGAATTAATACGAGTGAGTCTCTACTGTGAAAGACAGGCATTTTGAACATCAAATTACAACAGCATTGGATGGAAGTATGTTAAATATGTTCAAGTTGATGAGCTTGCATTAAAACTAAAAAGGAAAATTGATTTTTTTATTACTTTTCTAAGAACTTAGTAGAAATCTATTTATCATTCTGAAAACAGGTAAATAATGAGAAAGAATAAGAACACTCATATTTCCTGTCCTATAAGAAGTATAGCTTGGTTGGTAAGGGAGTAGTTCGTTGGTAGAATGCTTGCAGGTATGCGTGCAGTCCTGCTTTAATCTCCAGTACTTGGAAAAAAAACAACCACCACAACAAACCTCAGTTGTACCTGAGGTTAAAAAAGAAAGTAGTTGAAGAGGCTGGAGAGATGGTTTAGTGGTTAAGTGCATGCATTGCTCTTAAAGAGAACCAGCGTTCAGTTCCCAGTGCCCACATCAGGTATTCAGTCATAGGTGTGACTCCAGCTCCAGGTTATCTGATACCTTCTTCTGGACTCCTCAGGCACCTGCACTCATGTGTACGTACCCACACGCTATGCACATAATTAAAACATACCTCTTTTTTAAAAAAGTAGTTGAAGGTTGAAAGCTTGTGATGATTGAACTACCGTTATCAAGAGAAAACCGAATGATAAAATATTAATTTAAATTTAGAACAAAAGCACTGTTGAGTCACCTTTCTCTGCTCCTCTAACTTTTAAAGCCTAAGAATTAGAAGCCTTATAAAGTAGAAAACTTATAAAGATAGAAAGTTCTTAACAATTATTTTATCTTAAATGCTAAAAATCAATTGATGCAAATCTTTCACAGTCTAGAAAAATGAATACCTGATTCAGATGGTATTTTTAAAAGGTTTCTTAGATTTTTGCTGATTTTGCAGTTGCCCTTCCTGCTGTTGCTGGTCTTCTTGAGCTCATTCAGGCTGAATGTAGACAGTACTGTACCAGAGACAGAGCCAGACAGAACGTTTCTCTTTCCCATTTCAGGGCCTCCGAAAGCTTTTAAACCAGTCACACTGAACTTGGTCCCCTAAGGGGCATGTGTGTGAGAGGCAACAAGAGGCTGAATGCACACCACAGAGTAAATAGATCTCAAAACCAAAATAAACGACCTGTATCAATACTAGAGGAAGGAAACCCAGTGGCAGTCAGTTCTTACTGTAACCTCTGGTAGTCTGTATCCGGGGAGTCATTGTAAATAGTTCTTCCACATGTCTGTTTCTGTCTCCATTGGACATACCTGTTCCTCGTATTTAACACGGATGAATTTTGTATGTGATTTACACTATCTGTGTATATTTAATGTGGCAGTGTTCTGATGCTCCCTTTCCTTTCTGGACAAACTCTTTAAATTATATGCTTTACACTTAGTCCTTGAGTTTGAAATATAGTAATAATTTTTGTGGTGATTTGGAGAGCAAAATGTGTTTAAATATTTATAGACTTCTTTAGAATATTATTATCCTAAGTATTTCCTTCATAATATCAGATTCTCTGTGTTTTTGAAAGAGGGCAAGTGGGTGGGGCTGGTGGTCAGATATACATGGAAAATATATCTTCATGCTGTACAAATACCCTTTAAGTTTTTGTTTCTGTCCTGGGAATTGAATGTAGGGCCTTGTATATATGCAAGGCAATTGCTTTACCATTGATCAATATTCTCAGCTTTTTCTTTTTGTTTCCTTACCCTCAAAGAAAGCTCAGAATTAATACACATAAAAACATTTAAAACTTCTTTTAACACAGTGTTTCACAAATTCATTTCACCCCCAATTCCTTTTTTTTTTTCTTTTATTCTTTCTTGGTTTTTTGAGACAGTGTTTCTCTGTATAACCCTGGCTGTCCTGGAACTCACGCTGTAGACCAGGCTGGCCTCCGACTCACAGAGATCCACCTGCCTCTGCCTCCTGAGTGCTGGGATTAAAGGTGTGCACCACCACTGTCCAGCTCTCAATTCCTTTTTGGTTAACACTTTTTAGCACTGTATTTGGGGAAATTCTACTGTACTGAGTTGATTAATACAAATATTAAAACATACCTATCACATTGCTTTAAATACTTGCCTGTTGCAAATCCAAAAGATTACTAAGTTTTCTACGCACCTGTGTTTAAATTAAAGTTGACGTGAAGTCTTTTCACAGAAGGGTTGGCTTTACTTAGACACGGACTTCTAGTACTTGGTTCACTCCATTGATTTATGTATCAGTCCATTTGCTGAACTTTAATCTAGCTGATGGATAGAATTCCTGATGTGATATATCATACGTTGGCTCTGGTACTGCAGTTTTATTCTGTAACTCATCCACCTATTTTTCTTTTTGTTTTAAATTTATAAAGTTTTTTGTTAACATATTTTAATTACACATAATAATGTATTTTATTATGACATTTCATACATGTGTATGAAATATTTTTTTTATTCACGCATTGTCTTCTTTTGTCCTTCCCCTGGTAATGCCCTTAAAATAGCTGTGCTACTTTCACCACTTCCACATCTTCCTTTTTTTTTAGAACTTACGCATTTAATTAGTGTTACTTACAGGAGTTGAAGTCATAAGTTTTATACTACCACCTGCCTTCAGTGAGAGCAGCTATTTGGGATGAAATGCCAGGGACATGAAGAGTTAGGTGCTAATTGTGTAATGGTATCACAAGTTAGTGGGTCAGGCTCTAAGCACTGGGGATCTGACTGCTAGAATGGGGGAACATTTTGCTTTTATTTGGCTCCTTTGTATCAAAAGTTAGGACCAGAAGAAGGAGGTAAGAGTCAAAAGACGAGATGTGGTTTTGAGGGAGGGGGCACAATTGGCCGCAATAGTCTAAGGACTAAGTGAAATGGTTCTGGGAAAAGAGAGTTGGAGGATAAGATATGAGATAAGAGATTTGGGGATAAAGATCTGAGGATGGAAGGTGATTCTTCCTTCCTTCCTTCCTTCCTTCCTTCCTTCCTTCCTTCCTTCCTTCCTTCCTTCCTTCCTTCCTTCCTTCCTTTTGTTTTTTGTTTTTTGAGATAAGGTTTCTCTGTGTAGTTTTGGTGCCTGTCCTGGATCTCGCTCTGTAGATCAGGCTGGCCTTGAACTCACGGAGATCCGCCTAGCTCTGCCTCCTGAGTGATCGGATTAAGGAGGGTGATTCTAAGGGAAGAGAGGTTGGGCAGAAGTCTGAAGGTCTGGAGGTAGAGGTATTGGCATAGGAGTGAAACAGGACTGGAGAAAAAAACTAAGACAGTGTGGGAGGGAAAGGAGCCTCTCACTCTGGACTTGGATGCAAGTCTTTCCCCAGCTGAGAATTCCAGCACAGGGGCCTGGAGAGAGCACTCACTGCTTCTCTTAGGGCTTCTGTTGTTGTGATAAAACACCATGACCAAAGCAGCTTGGTGAGGAAGGGTTTATTCCAGCTGACAACTTGTAGTTCATCATGCAGGGGAATCAGGGCAGGAACTCAAGGCAGGAAACTGGAGGCAGGGACTGATGTAGAGGCTATGAGGAGTGCTGCTTCCTAAAAGAAAAAATAGCTTTTGGTGACATTAGCGAGTAAATAAAGACCACCACAATAGGATGTGTAAAAATGGGGTCGTAAACAGTAAGATGTTTGGAGATTGCATGTAACCTGCCTGTGTATGAGAGACTGGTGGCAGCAGCTTAGAGGATGTGGCCAGAAGGAAGGAAGAAGCCAATTGATTAGTGGCAATGATGGCTATTCCAGGCAGAACAGAGGAGACTGTCCAGTAGGTAGTTCTTTGTCTCTGTTAGCGCTTTTAAATATAATCAGTTAATAAAGACAAATATTGACCAAACTGTGCTGAATTCCTTAAATTTAATATATATTTCCCAATGACAGCCACACTATTTTGTATTACTACCATCTTGATGCTATGGTTGTAATTGTTCAACATATTATAACCCTAAAGCAATAATTATTGTTAAAATAGTTTTATTGAAGTAAAAATAAATATATGCCTGTTTTACTTATAAGACTCAGTGAGTTTTGACAGACATATACAGCCACAGAAAGCCCTACTCTTAAAATCATTATACAGTGTGTTTTTGTCTGCTCATATCAGCTTTAAGTCAGTTTAATAAACAAATGTGTTCAACCATCAGTGATGTAGTATTCTAAGAACAGAGAAGTCAAAACTGTCAATCTTTAAATTAGGAAGCATTTTTTTTCCTATGTAAGACACAATGATCCGTACAGTTGCTGTCTGTGGGAGATTTGTCTCTCAAAACCATCAATAGGAAAAGGAGTGAGAAGCCTCTTAGGAGTTGTATACAGAGAGACTGCTGTGGCTTTATCAAAAGGTATTGGGGATGGAGTAACAGCAACCATCTAAAAGCTGTCCTGGAGAGCCTCCTGTGTGAGTCATAGCAACTGTACACTGGAGGAATCAGACAGGCGCCCTCCCTGGTCAGCAGTCTTGATAGTCTTGCCTATAACGTGGGTGGGGAGATGATTAACATATTCTAAACTGTACATACAGGACATTAAAGTCTTATGAGGTGTGGTTGGGAGACAGATTGGAGACAGGAGAATTAAGAATAAGGATTACTTTTTAAAGGGCAGTTGACTAGGTGTGATGTCTGCAAACTGGGGCAAAAGTGTTTTATCCCTTTTTACTCTTATTATTTCTGCACACTAGACAGTTGACTTTTCGTTGTCTGTTAAGGAATTGGAAGTTTTTAAGGTAGTAGTTACTGTCATTAAACCACTAAATTTATTTGCTTTCCTAGAAATTATTATTTTTAAGAATGAAATACAAGTTTAGATATGAGACCCACCAAGCTTCATATTTTTAAACACTTATTTTATTTGTTTTAACCAGTTACCCATGGGTGTATTGTTTCCACAATAAAACTTTTTCTACCAGATGGTATGGAAGCCCGGCTCCGCTCAGAGTGAGTATAATTAGTGCTGTGAAGTTTTGGATTAATTATCTTAGTTGGTGATATTCATAGTGATGCTATACCGCTAATACTACAAGATTACTGTAATATATTAGAAAATTGATATGGTACCTTTGGGCATATTATATATTTTAGTTTTAACTACTTCTTATTATTTAAAAATCTAGTAAATAATAATGCATCAGAGGTAAAGGTTGTTTTATTTTCAAATTTAACTTTACAGTATATATTTGAATAGATAATTAGTTGGGTTTTTTTTTTGCAATATTTAGGATATTTTAGTTACTGGAGAATGATAACTGTTCTTTTTGATATATATTTAATATAGAGCTTTTTAGACTGTGATTGTCTGTGGAGTTAATGTCAATGTCATATTCTTTCAGAACTTGAAGATGTTAATATAGTTAGTATTTTTTTATGAGAATTAAAAGAATTTCCCCCAAAGTTGTATTTTATGTTTTATATGAAGCAATATCAAGTCTTATCATGAAGTCTAAAGTTTAAAATGTAAATTTAAGTACATCCTGTGCTTTTTAAAGATTATCATTGTGAAGTATGGAAGGCGCTGGGCAGTATTTAAATATTAATGCTTTTTTTGGTTTGTTTTTATTTAGGGAAAGGCTTGAGTATGCTAAATGCTTGTTTCCTTGCTTCAAAGGAGTTTCCTGATATTACAGTCTACTTTTTACTAGTGGCTTACATTGTTTTGATTATGCCAAAATACCTAGAGTGGAAGGAAAAGCGAATAGCGAATAGGAAAGAGAGAACGATAAAGCGAAAGAGCGGGTCCCTTTACTGTAGGATCTCCCCTGTCTGTCATTAGAATTACGTATTTATGCTTTTCTTAGGACCTACCATAGTTTTTTTCCCTCTTTAGTTTTATGGCTAGATGATGCAAAACAGATTCGTAAAACAGTTGAAATTTAAAATACCATTATTAAAATGTAATTATAGTTTATTTGAATTTCAGTAAACTTCAAGAACTTCAACATAAGAAAGCGTTTATGAGTCAAGAATTGAGCTTTCAGTCATAGAATAACTAGCAATCCACCAATGACTTACAGCTTTTTAAAGACTAGTGTTTGCAGTTGGTATGAGATCATTTTTAATAGAGTTAAAAGGTTTGAGCAGTCATGCATGTCTCCTGTGTTCTTAGGTTCCATCTAGTAGACTATGTGGGTCTTCTTATTTTTGTGTGTATGTGTGTGTGTTCGTGTACATGTGTGTCATGGCGAGCGTGGAGGTCAGAGGACAACCTTGGTGTTGGTGCTTGATTTCCAGTTTGTTTGAGGCAGGGTTTTGTGTTTGGCACCATGTGCCCTAGGCTAGCTGTCGCCCAAGCTCCCGAGGATTCTTCACTTTCCACTTGCAGATTGCTGGAGGAGTGCTGGGGTTTCAGACATACTGGCTTTACACACATGCTGGGTAGTCAGACTCAGGCCCTCATGCTTGTCTGACAAATGCTTTACCTACTGAGCTATCTCATCAGCCATCTGTAAAAATTTTGAAGACTTTTCAGTAAATTCCCTCATTTTCCCAAGTCCCTTTAACTATTTCTCATTTTCTTCTCAGCTCTCTCTCCTTTATTTAATGACTGTGTGTGTGAATGTTTGTTGTATGCATGCGTGTATTGCCTGCATGTGGAGCAGAGGACAGCCTCAGGTGTTAATCCTCAGGGGCCGTGCCCCTTGTTTTTAGACAGGATCTCATTGGACTAGGGCTTGCTGATTCAGCAAGACTGGCCCCTGTCCTCACCTGCCAGGTGCTGAGGTTACAAGCATGCCGTAGCACCCGACTTTTACAAGGGCTCTGGGAATTGAACTCCGGTCCTCAAGCTTGAGCAGCAGGGAATTTACCTACTAAAGGATTTCCCTAGCCCCTGTTTTTAAGGAGCTATTAAATACTAAATTTTGCTTCTAGTTTAGAAGACAAGTTTAGAACAAAAAGTTCTTTAAAGCTGGATGAATATCTGAATAGACTTTAGGATAGATAGTTAGGGAAAGCTTGACTTTACTTGTTCTGACTTTCCAGGCCTTACTTTTTTCATCTGAAGTATAAAGATAAATCATCTTAGTTACTGATCATGATTATGAGGCTTAAATGTAATTGTATATTTAAAGAACTTAGCATAGTATCTATCAGATAATAAATCTGAGATAAACATTGACTGCTGTTATTGTAATCTAATTTTAATTAGCAGTTTAAATGGCTGAATACATCGAGTGCCAAGTCCACTGTGTAAATAGTGTATAGGGTTTTTTGTTAATGAATTAATTTAATTGATTCAATTTTGGCTTGAGATTAGGACAGGTTTCAGACAATTTGTGAAATGGTCCTAAACATACATCTCTCATTTTGTACTATGTGAATCTACAAAGCAGAATTTACAGCATAAATGATTAAAATCAACATATCAACCTTGCTTAGGAAACCCGAGGTTGTTCTACACCCTACAGCATAAACTATTCATCCAGGATTTAATTCCTGTGTAAAATTAACCGAAGCATGGTCATCAAACCAGTATAAAATTTTGCTTTTGTCTTTAATAAATGGTAAAATATATGTATACTGAAGACTGGTTTTAAAATCAATTTTGATAATTTGTGTATAGGGTTTTTAAGATCTTCAATAGGTAATTCTGATTGTTTCTCAGTTTTTGTTCTATTTTATAATTTTCTAACAACAGAAATAGAAGTTGCCTATAACTTTACAACCTCAACACTCAATAACAGTTTTTACTTTCTAACATTGATTTGTTATACTTTTTATATACACAAGAAGTTTTTCAACAATTCAGACAAAATACACCTATGTCCGATATAGTTTTTGTAAAAAACAAATATATTTGCAGATTGTGTTATTTGACTTTTTTAGCCATTTGTTTGCTAACCGAATTTCATGAGAATAGAAGAATTTCTTCTTGGGTCACTAAGAAAATCAAATTTTTAAAGCTCTATTTGTTTCCATTTAGGGTTTTTGAGTTAATGTCATTATATATGCATATTGACAGAAAAAAGGGATATATACCAAAAAATGGTTATTTCTGGGTGCTTAGGATTGAGTAATTTTAGCTTCTTTTTATATTTTACATTTTCAGTATATATTGCCTGTACAGTCAAGAAAAATTAACTTATGTTTAAAGCATCCATTTTAGTTTTATAAGTGGAAAAGAATAAATGTAGTTACAACTTAAAAAACATTCACTAGGCATCAAGTTTGTTAAGGCCTTGAGATAGGTTCTGTGGATGTAGGGGTGAATTGATCATAATTCCTGAGGTATCCTGTGTACAGAAAATGGGTACTGGTACTCAACCCTTCCCTGTATATGCCATACCAGGCCAGTTTCTCAGCAGTCACACACGCCTTACTAATTGAGTCTGGGAACTTTACCCATTCAGCCTGCCATCTGGCTGTCACTAGATTGTTTTTGAAGATGTGAAGTGTAGGGGACATAGGTGGCCTTTAAGACACATACAGTATCTTACAGAGCTTTGTAAATAGGGATGCTGGCTTCCTGAGCTACACATTTCTCCTGGGAGTAGAAGGTAGTAATTGGTTGGTTCCTGTTCCAAGGCATTGTTTTAAGCTACTTGTTTATGCCCACACATTTAATACTTAAAAGAGCGCTATAGGGCCACTTTATGGGTGAGGAGCACGAGGCCTATCGGGATTACTTTGCCTTTAGCTGGGAAGCAGAGCCAGTTTGGTCTAGTTGGTATACTTTCTGAGCCTGTCTGCTTGACTGCTGCTGCTTTTCTGTCAAGAGTTCTGTGTCAGGCCCCAGAGGAAATTAGTGTCAGTTAATGCCTGTGGTTGTGTCTGCTATGCTGAGTTCAGTTTTAGACACACGTGTAAACTTTGATTTAGTCCTAAGATGGCAAGGTGAAGAATAGTTGTCACTGTTTTGACAGCTAACGTTGTTCTTCACTTCGAGCCACTTTCCAATTACGATTTTTTTCTAAATGAGCTTTTACTTACTAAGAATTTCTACACACGAGTATTTATTAATTTTTTGATAACATATGTTACAAAGAAAATGCATACTTTAAAAGGTATTTCAATGTGTTGAAATGGTAAAAATAAGGGAATCATCACAGCACTCGGTAAATATTGGGTCCTCAAAAGACATTTAATACATTTGGAATTGAAATTCACTTTAAGAATAATAATGAGTATAAAGTAGGTTTATGTATGTATTTGTTTTTTAAGAAAGATAATTCACATTCTTTTAATTATATAAGAGCAAATGCATGAGTTTTATGACAAGATATTCTGGTGCTCTAGAATCATTTCCTCTGTTTTCAGGAAATTAGATAAAAATTCTAAATTTTACTTTTCAGTGTCATCCATGCTCCATTACCGAGTCCTGTTGACAAAGTAAGTAGTAAATGATTGTTTACTGATGTTTTTATTTAATAGGTTTTACCCAAAAAACTTCTGTTTTTGTAATAAAGTAAATATAACTGTGTAGTTAATATAACCTTCACTGTGTGGAGAATTTGGATTGAATGTGTCTTTAGAAAAAGCTTTTGTAGCCCAGGTAAACTACTGACTGAGTAGACTAAATGTACCTGGTTTTGTGCCTAGCCAGAGGTAAGTAATGTTTACTATTACCTTTTATTCTGAAGTACAGTTCTGTCTAGGAATTTCCCAAAGCTTTCTAGCCAAGAAGTTCACTCAGTATTTACCCATACAGCACAGTGGCTCTGAAATAAGGATTTACAGAAATTATTCTTTTAATGTCATTGGACATCAGTTTTGACATTACCTAATTAGAAATTGTAGTAATTGATTGTTAGAATATTTTTCTTTTGTTTAGGAGTAATGGTGCATTGAAACTATAGGTATCATTGCTGAATAACAGAGTGTGATCAATGAGCAAAACAAAACTTTTTTTACTATTTGACATTACTGTGATATTGGGAGCTTTGTTTTGCTTTGTTATTTAGACAGGGTTTCACATAGCCTTGGGTGACTAGGAACTCACTGTATAGCCAAAGATGCTGCTTGTTCACTTCTTGATCTTCCTGCCTCCACCTTCCAAGTTCTGGGATTACAGCTGCACTATCATGTCTGCTGGATTTGTGTGTGTGTGTGTGTGTGTGTGTGTGTGTGTGTGTGTGTGTGTGTGTGGGTGTGGGTGTGGTGTGTGTATGTATGTATGTGTGTGAATGGTGTGTGTGTGTGTGTGTGTGTGTACTAACTAAAATGTGAGGACATTTTACATTTTTTCTCTAGTTTAGATTAACAATGGTTACCTACTTTAAATTGAGGTTTTTAGATTCTTGTTTTAGAAATAAAAGTAATTTATCATCAACTTCTCTGATACCAAGAACTGTATTTGTTGATTTAGATCTTCAAAAGAAAAATGCCAATTCTTTTAGGTTGAATATTAGAAAGCATACTTTGTGAGCTTAATGAGGAGTGATTCTGTAACATTATTAATAAATCAGCAGAGCATGATAGTGTATACCTGTATTTCTAGTGGTTGGGAGGCTAGGATGGGAGGATAGCTGTGAGTTCAAACTGGTGCATGTACCAGGCCCAAAAGGGCTGTGTAACAAGACCGAATTTCAAACAATGAAAAAGGATAGGTATGCACACTTACAGAGCTTATTAGTGTCTAGGATATGGGCAGATATTACAGCTACTTATTGTGCCCTGTGTTTTCTTTTTTAGTGACATGGTTCTGTATCTGATATTCCTGAAAAGCCCCCTTTGAAGTGAATTCTGATACTTTTGTGTTCTGAGCAGTTAGACTAACGTAGTTTTGAACATGATTATTTTCTTTTTCTTAAAATTTACATACAATAATAAAATTTTTTTCATTGTCTCTGGCTATTGGACAAAATATTAGAATCTTTTTTATTTTAATTTTTGTTTTTCAGTAAGAGTAAGATTTTATGTTATCCTCTATCCTGACACATGCTTCCAAGTAACATTTTGAATATTGGTATTTCTAAATGAATTGTGATATGTTGACATATTAATGAAGTAATGAGTGATGAATTTTAAAGGAAAAACTTGACTGCATTGATTAGGAGTTATTTCTCAGTTATGAAAAGGTTCAGTACTTTGTGATTTGACTTATAAAGGAAAGTTTCACAAGTAATCATCTTGTTTATAAATCTGATATGATTGGTGTAATACTATCTATACATTCTAGACATACAGCAGAAATATCTTGAGAACTAATTTACACAGTAATTGAGAACAGACTAGATCAATTGAAAACATTTTATTTGTATGTTTGGGAAAGTAGACATTTCGTGGACTTGGTTTGTTTTCAACTCTCTAAGTGCATTTCATTTGTGTGCATGTGGACATGAGAGGATAGCTGCAGGCATTGCGTCTCTCCTTTCACCATGTGGGTATTGGGGATTATCTAGTTAGTGTTACTGTTGCTGTGATAAACACCACGACCAACACTTCCACATCACTGCTCATCACTGAAGGAAGTCAGGACAGGAACTCAGACAGGAAGGAACCTGGAGCAGGAATCAATGCCCAGGAGTACTGCTTACCATGTTGCTCCCTATGGCTAGCTCAGTCTGCTGTCTTATGGAACCCAGGATAGCAGCCCAGGGATGGCACCACCCACTATGGCCTGGGCCCTCCCTCACTGATCACTAACTGAGAAAATGCCCTACAGGCCTGCCTACAGCCTAATCTTATGGAGGCATTTTCTTAATTGAGGTTCCCCCTCTCAGATGACTTAGCCTGTGTCAAGTTGACATAAAACTATCCAGCAGGGGATTAAACTGAAGTTGTCAGGCTTGACAGGAGGGACCTTTACTTGCTGAGCCATCTTGTTGGCTCTTAATGGCTTTTTTAATGTAATGTTTTCTGTGATTATTGACATTGGGTTATTTTGTTTCTAGGTTGCTGCTAACACTCCAAGTATGTACTCTCAGGAACTATTCCAACTTTCTCAGTATCTACAGGTAACAGTAAATCTTGAGAACTCTTAGTCTTTAAAAGTAACTCAGATTTTATTTTGCCAGTTTGTAAATACAGAATCAAAAATATTGGCAGGAAACAAGAACACAGGAAATATCTTTTAAAGGAAGCATGAAGGCTTAAAATTAGATCTCAAGAAGAAAAAGGAGTCTGGATTGTTGAGTCTAGAGAAGATAAGCTTATGTACAAGAGAAATTTTTTCTTCCAGTATAAGGGGATTCCAAAGTAATTCTTTATTCATAGGTGGGCTTTAAATAAAATTAAACGTGTCCAGGTTTTGGATGTGTGATAATAGTACATAATTTTATAGCATTTGTTATATGCCATACTCTCCTTTAGCACTTTACGTATATTGATTCATTTAATCTATATAACAGTTTTTACTGCTATGTAAAGAATGTAGATAACTCATTCTTGTTTTTCCATGTGGAGTAACTAAGGGGCTGGAAGAGTTATCACATGTGCATTGTGATTTGCCCCTAGTCTGAGTTTGAAGTAGTTTGACAGTTAGACCCCAGAGTCCCATTTGAACTGTATTTTTGGATCCAGAGCACAGAGCAGCTACTTGGAATGGCCTCCTGGAACACTTAATTCTTTATTTAAAAAGACATACAACTCTAAAAGTAAAGAAGTGTTATTTCTTTCCTTCATTTATTTGGGCAGGATTATGGCTTGGGGTTGTTGGGGGGATTATGGTGAGGGAATATGATTTAAAGAAAACTTTGGTTTAGAAGTTTAGGGGTTGAAGTTTTGATCTTGATCTTGGTTTTTCTGCTCAGTTTTGTGGCCTTCAGTGAATAGTTTTATTTGTGCAGGCTTTTAGTTGTCTTTAAAACTGTTGAATCAACACCAGTGACCCTGTGTCCTTTCGTTACTTGGGCAGTTAAAGGCATGTGCATCTGGAAAAGTACAGAGATAACCAACATATTAATTAGATCTCATTTTCCACCAAGCACCGTGTACTGCCATAGAAAACTAGTTTACACATTTGCACATCAGTGAAGTAGTTAAGAACATGGGTTCTTCTAGCCAGAATTGATCAAGTTTAGCTACTTTTGATCCCTGGCTTTAACATCTGATCTCCCAAGACAGTTTGTTTATTTGTTTGTTTTTGTTTTTGGAGAGGATTTCTCTGTGTAGCCCTGGCTGTCCTGGGCTTTGTAGACCAGTCTGGCCTCGAACTCAGAGAGCTGCCTGCCTCTGCCTCCCGAGTGCTGGTATTAAAGGCTTTAAAAAAGCCTTTGAACTTCATTTTCCTCATGCAGGGAATTGATAAGTAGTACCACCTCTCCACATTATGCAGGGTATATGAATTAATATAAGTAAAGCACTTAGAGTAGTGCCCAAAACATAAAATAAATGATGTGAATGTCATTGGTCATTTTCATTCAATGGGAAGATGTATTAGTTTTTGTAGGTCTCTGAGAGGTAGGAGAAAATGTTAAGATTAATGTTTTATTTCTGACATGAGAAATAGCAATGTCCATATAGATTAAATGATTGGCCTGATTCTATGTACTGTGGTTGCTTCTCATCGTGAACGAGACTCTCATACTTCTCATTCTTTCTCACCTTTTCTGTCAGTTCTTTGAACATCCATCCATATTTGTTAACTCTCTGGGAGGAATTGTCCCCCCTCCCCCTTTTTCTTGTCCTTGTATAATCCTTATTGAATTGATGAATCTCCAATGTAAACTGTGATCCCTTTGAGTAAAAATATCTATTTCATACCTTAGATCTAAAAGATCATTTTCAGGAGAGCTACATTTGTTTTACTTTGGTTCATAATTAAGAAACTCATGGAAATGAAATTTTTAAAAGATGTAATGGCACCATCTAGTGGAGGTAGTTTCTAAAACTTTGGTTGGCTGATGGCTTTATCAGTAAAATATTTTGTATCTGTTACTTCCTGGATACTTAAAATAAAATATGATAAATAACCATTTTAATATGGATTATCTGATGATGGTGTTTTTATTAGATTCCTTAGTCTGTATTAAAACAAAGTACTTCTGAGTATACATTAGGCAAGATTTTCCCTGCTCATTGTTTATTAAGGATGTGGAGAGCAATAAATTAATGTTTTAAACCTTAAGTGCAGTATTTGAAGCATACACTTTTCTTTGAGGTGACTCAAAGATAGAATGCTGGTGTCCTTTGGGTATTTCAGGAATGTCAGAAGATGAAGCCAAAGCCACAGCTAAATGATGTGACCATTTCACCTTCACAGTCTATAAAGGGGATGCTGTTAGCAGCTGTCAGATGTTCACTATAGAGTAGTCTTGCTCTTCATTGTCTTTCATCATATTCCTGTGTTCCTTTGACCCCCTTAATTACATCAAGCTAATATTAATGGGTTCTTACATTTTGAATATTAATTACTCAATGATGTAATCAGGGAAAATCAGAATACCTGAAAATGCCATAAGCTGTGAGTAGTATCTCTTTTAAATATAGGGGCATATATTTACATACCATTTTAGAAAGGAAAAGCTAAATGCTATTACTATTTTAGATGCCATGCTGTAGAATTGTTATAAAGTATCTTTGATGCTGACCAGATTGTTTTGCCTTAGTTTGAAATACATTTGTTTGAAGATAACATAAATATTTCATAAATATGTGTGTATTTATGAAATATAAGCAGAAACAAACATTTATTAGTTTTCTAATCTGCATTTTGATACTTATTCTTTTAGTAAATTACCACTAAAAAGAAAACAGAAATGAGTAACTTTTTTCCATCCAGGGAAAAGTTTATTACATCTGTACTTGCAGTCCTGTAGATGGGCTAAAATAATGAGCTACATCCAGGGTGCAATATGAGAATATATTTAGACTATACTGAGTGTTATTCTTCAGAAGAATCATGCTGCTGACTGAGTTCATTAGAATTTCTTTTGTGATTTATGTTAGGAGGCCTTACATCGGGAACAGATGTTGGAACAGAAATTAGCCACACTTCAGCGGCTATTAGCCATCACCCAAGAGGCTTCAGATACCAGTTGGCAGGTACTCCGTTTACTTTATATTCATGAAGCATTTAAACAGTTTTAATAGTTTTTTTTTTAATGTGTTGAATGAATTAAAACTAATATTTTTGGCAAATAGAAGTAATGTTATTCCTTAACTAAAGAACAAATGTTGAAACAGCATTTTGTAGCAGATTTTGATTCATTTTCCAATTTTCTTTCTTTTGTTGGCAATAGAATCTGTTATACATGCTTTTTTCTTTTTTTGTTACTCTAGGTTTTTATTTATATCTATTTTTTTTTTCAACAGGCTTTAATAGATGAAGATAGACTCTTATCACGGTTAGAAGTTATGGGAAACCAATTGCAGGCATGCTCCAAAGTAGGTATTTAACCTCAGGTATATAAGGAAGAACGCAGTTCTGTAGTTTCCTTTTTTTTTTTTTTTTTGTTATTTGAGTGTATGCTAAGACCTTTATATAATTCCACAATTCCTTTACATCTTTGTTATGAAAAAAATTCAAGCATACCTGTAAGTAGGAAGAATTGTGTAATACATACCTGTGTCCAGTTCTAATTCCTTTTTCTTTTGCAGTTGCTATTTGTTGAAGAGGTTATTTGCTTTCTGGAATGTGATTCAGTCTATATTGTTACCGAAACACTTTTAAAGTTCTTTCTCTAGGCATAAAATAGTAGAGATTTGGTCTGGTTTAGATGTTATGGTACTTGTTTTTTTTTTTTCTTTTTCTTTGCCAATACGACTTCATGGATAGTGTTGTTCTTCAGTCAAAGACTGCATAATGATTAGATTGTTTTCCTTTTAGGATTTTGTCATTCATTGATGATTCTTCACTAAGTCCATTATTTCATTAAAGATTTTAACATAGTGATGTAATTCTACAGTTCCTTCATTTACTTTAACTGGACTACTTCTTCAAAGATAATTTTTCTCTCATGAACCATTTTGTTACCCCAAAGTGCGTTTTCTACAGAAAAAAAAACAGAATGAATCCCATGCCCATTATTTACTAGATGAAAAGAATAAATTGATAATCCTTTTTATCCACCGGTGAATGACAATGAAGTGCTTTCTCTCTTGCTTAGACTTAAGTAGATTTGGTGTATTTCAGTCTATAGTAGTAGTTATCTTTGCTGATGATCAAATTGTCCAGAGTTTTGTCTGAGTAAACCTTTTAAAGTTGGCTCTCTGACTAAAACTAACTTTGATAGCTTCCTGTGGCCATACTAGACAGGATGCTCCATGTTCATCTTACATATTCGTGTTCCGGACCTGGAGTCTTCCTTATGATGCTCTTATTACTTTTGTCTTAGCCATTGTTCTAAAATTTTTGCTTTTTATAGCAATGGTGCTTTTGATAGCAATGACTTTTGTTCACAGGTGGAAATATGAAGGCTTCCACAGAACATGAGTAATTAATCTTAATAATATTTGAGAGAAATTAGTGCTTTTAACTCTTTCCTGCTGGAATTAGTGTAATTTCTGGAGGCATAACTTACTGATACAACTTTGAAATACAGATTTAGTTAATAGTAGGCCAACATTTGTTTTGGGGGGTACCTTAACATATAATTTAGTGTATTGTAATGTCTTTATTTCTTTCAAGGCATAAATAACGTAGGGGTAATAGAAGTGTCTTCTATTCTAGAATCAAACAGAAGATAGTTTACGGAAGGAACTTATTGCTTTGCAAGAGGATAAACACAACTATGAAACAACAGCCAAAGAGTCCCTGAGGCGGGTTCTTCAGGAGAAAATTGAAGTGGTTAGGAAACTTTCAGAAGTTGAGGTATTTAATTTTTATTGTTATTATTTTTAAAGATTTTATTTTAAAAATTATGTGTCTGTGTATAGTATGTGCATGGATATGTGTGTGCAAGTGAAGTTGTCTACAGAAGTCTGAGGCTTAGATCCATTGGACTTGGAATTATAGGCAGTTTTGAGCCATCTGTAGATGCTGGGAACTGAACTATGTACCTTTGCTTAGTTTGGAACTTGCTATGTAGAGCAGGCTGGCCCCAAACTCACAGAGATGCACCTGCTTTTGTCTCCCCAGTAGTGGATTTAAAGATGTCTGGTGGGAATTGATCTTTTGTCATAAAAGTATGCTGTCCTTTAGTGGAGGATGGTCACTGAGAACTTTACTACTTTACCTATCCTCTGCATCAGTGGTTCTCAACCTTCCTAACGCTGCAACCCTTTAACACAGTTCCTCATGTGGTGGTGACCCCCCCAACCATAAAATTATTTCGCTGCTACTTAATGACTGTAATTAATTTTGCTACTGTTATGAATTGTAACGTAAATATTTGTGTTTTCCAATGATCTTAGGTAACTCCCCCAAGGGGTCATGACCCACAGGTTGAGAACCACAGCTCTAGACTAACTATTTTGTGCTTTTGGAGTTTATGGGGGAGTTCTTCTAGGTCCTAGGAACAATCAAAATGTGATTCTTGGGACTGAGGGTTCAGCTCAGTGGGCATGTGCTTAGCATGTGTGAGGACCTGGATAGTTTGTATTATGGCCTCATTCTATAGTATGGGCTTTATGTGCATTTTTGCTTAATTAATTTGACATACAAGTAGAGTTTCAAGCTGTATTGCTATTTTCACATTAAAGTTACTTTAAGGATTGTTGACTTAGAGATGAGTATAATAGAGTATACTTTTTTTTTTTCCGTTTTTCGAGACAGGGTTTCTCTGTGTAGTTTTGCACCTTTCCTGGAACTCCCTCTGTAGTCCAGGCTGGCCTCAAACTCACAGAGCTCCTCCTGCCTCTGCCTCCCAAATGCTGGGATTAAAGGCGTGCGCCACCACCGCCCGGCAATAGAGTATACTTTTAATCATAGCACTTGGTAGTCTGAGGCAGGAGATTTACAATTTTCAGGCTAGCCTGGACTCCATAGTGAATTTGAAGCCATCCTGAGTAACATAGTCTTGCTTCAAAAACAAATAGAAAAGGAATTGGTAGTTTTAAAGTATTTTCAATGCTAAAAGTCATATCGGTTGACGTTTTTTAAAGTATAAATAATAGGTAACTCTTTCTGCCCCCAACATTAAAAAAAGAAATTCTTTGTTGTGTTTTAGTATATATGTGCCTGAAATAAACTGAAATTGTTTTGTCTTTTAACTCTGTTTTATATAAATTTAGCCCAAATGTGGATGTAGAATAGTCCTTAGCTACACTTTTTACAAACTGAATTTATGATAAATTTTAAATAAGTACCCATTTACTCTAAATGCATTGCCTGTGAACTTGAATTGCAGAGAAGTCTGAGTAATACTGAAGATGAATGTACCCACCTGAAAGAAATGAATGAACGGACTCAGGAAGAATTAAGAGAATTAGCCAATAAATATAATGGAGCGGTCAATGAAATTAAAGATTTGTCTGATAAGTTAAAGGTATGTATATTAGTTCCTTTTCTACTGCCATGAGAAAACACCATGCCCAAGACATCTTATAGAAGGAAGGGTTTATTTAGGCTTAAGGTTCCAGAGAGTAAGATTGTTTCAGCATCATAGAGAGGAAGTGTGGCACCAAGCAGGTATGGTCACTGGAGCTGGAAGCTGAAAGCTCACTGGGACTGGCTTGAGGCTTAAGAAACCTCAAAGATGCCGGGCGGTGGTGGCGCACGCCTTTAATCCCAGCACTCGGGAGGCAGAGCCAGGCGGATCTCTGTGAGTTCGAGGCCAGCCTGGACTACCAAGTGAGTTCCAGGAAAGGCGCAAAGCTACACAGAGAAACCCTGTCTCGAAAAACCAAAAAAAAAAAAAAAAAAAAAAAAGAAACCTCAAAGCTGATCCCTGTGACATACTTCCTTCAGAAGTAAAGCCATACCTCTTAAACCTACCCAAACAGCACTACCAACTGGGGACCAAGTATTCAAACATAGAAACCTATGAGGGACATTCTTATTCAAACCATCACAATTTGTATTTAATCGACCTGAAAGCATGCTAAGCTAATAGTCTCTTAGCATACTAACAGCCTAAAAGTTTATGCATCACTCAATAGTTGTTAATGTAAAATTTGGTAAAACTGAAAAAGTTGAAATTGATAGTGAAAATAGAAAATGTATTCTGTTTAGTCCACCCTCCATTACTGTTGAAAATTGAAATCCTTTAAAACAGATACTTCCTCTGGATAGAAATATGGTGAGTGCTTCGCAATAGTCATCTTTTAGTGTTTGCTTCAGCATTACATAGATAAGATAGAAATGATACAGAAAAGAACACATCTTCTAATATATACTTGGAAGTAGATGAGAATCAATATGATATGGATTGGTGAGATGGCTTAGAGTGTGGGCACTTTTCATGCAAGCTTTTTTTTGTTTTTTCCCCTGAGACAGGGTTTCTCTGTGTAGCTTTGGTGCCTTTCCTGGATCTCGTTCAGTAGACCAGGCTGGCCTCGAACTCACCTGGCTCTGCCTCCCGAGTGCTGGGATTAAAGGCGTGCGCCACCACCGCCCGGCAAAGAAATTTAGATTTTTTAAAGTTTTTTTTTTTTTTTTCTTAAAGATTTATTTATTTATTATGTATACAGTGCTCTGTCTGCATGTATCCCTGCAGGCTAGAAGAGGGCACCAGATCTCATTACAGATGGTTGTGAGCCACCATGTGGTTGCTGGGAATTGAACTCATGACCCCTGGAAGAACAGCCAGTGCTCTTAACCGCTGAGCCATCTCTCCAGCCGTCATGCAAAGCTTTAAGACCTAAATTTGGTCATAGAACCCAGGGTGGAAGACAGAAAGTCCCCAAAGTTGTCCTTTAATCTCCGTGTGAGAACCATGGCACCCATGCACCAGACCTTAGCCATGTACAACACACACACATGTAAACACAGACATGCAGGCATATACACACAATAATAATAATAATAATGATGATGATGATGATGATGATGATGATGATGATAGATAAATCATAAAGAGAGGCAATCAAGGGCCAGAATGAGATACATGCAGTAATAATAAATTATAAAAAGGGAGAATCAAGACCAGAATAAGATGTCTCATAGGGTAAAGTTGTGCAAACCTCATTCCCAGGAGCCCATGTAAAGGTGGAAGGAATTGTCACCACAGAGTTGTGCTCTGATCTCCATGTGCACCTACCCATGCATCATATATGCATATGTACATACAATAATAATAAAGTTTTAAAAAAAGAATAACAAAATCTAATATAGTTTGATGCTTTTTAAAACCTACTCGTTTTTAGGTCTTCTCAAAGTTAGGGATCAGCTGTTCGTGCTGCAACGAACTTAAAGGGAGCTTGGAATAATCTCTTTGAACCCTGGTTGTCCTTGAGCCTGCAGCTGTGCTGTTGAGTCTTTTTAGCTGCTATTCCCTCTGGGGCATTCGGAACAAAGGCATCAGACCATAATATAATGTCTAGTTGGTCCTTCAAAGTCTCGTGAAGGAATTGTTGAAAATTTTAATGTAATTTATATCTCTTGATGGGTCTTGAAACTAGTAGGGTGTCATGAGAGGGAAGGAAGAGATTGTGGGGGTTGGAGAGGAGAGAGGGTAATAGAATGTATATGATACGAAAGCAGAGGGGAGATTGTCTGGGAAGATGAAGGGAAACAGGCAGAGGGGCAGGAGTCATTGGGTGGGCAATGCAAATGAGGATAAATGCCTAGACACAAATGTATGAAGAATGCCACAGTAAAACACAGTACTTTGTGATATTAGCTTAAAAAATAATTAAAACAAGGCAAAAATGAGCCTGGCCTCAGTCGAGTGCCTATAAGATAGGTTTTTGTCAGAGAAGGCTGAGCATCACTTATGATAGTTCTCAAGGAGATCTTGTCAAGAGAAATGTGTTTGAAGGGTTTGTACCATCATCTTTTTAGCCAGACATAAATAGTTTATAATTTTAAATTGATGTTCCATTTTAGAACGTGCAAACAAGTTGTAATAATAGATTTGGGGAATATATTTCCCATTTAAAAACCATGGAGGATTTAATTTTGACTCTGTGTGTTTATCTCTTGGGCCTGCTTGTTTGCTCCTAAGTTTTTCCCTTCTCAGTGCCATGTGGTAGTGACCTCAGTGCAGATCACTTTTGACATCAAGTCTCTGTCTTTGTTTGCTTTAGAAATCAGCTTTATAAAAATGTTCTGTAATTCTGAATATAGTCCTTGGAAGTATAAGTGAATGAAGTCAGTCCTCGCCTTGGGCTACTTAAAGCAAGGTGAGGCTTTATGAAATGACTGAAGATTCTTACTCAACAGGTAGCAGAGGGAAAACAAGAGGAAATCCAGCAGAAGGGACAAGCTGAGAAGAAAGAATTACAGAATAAAATAGATGAAATGGAAGAAAAAGAGCAGGAGCTCCAGGCAAAAATAGAAGCTTTGCAAGCTGATAATGATTTCACCAATGAAAGGCTAACAGCTTTACAAGGTAAGCTAGCTGATACAGAAATTGGTTTTGTTTGATTTTTGTTCTCTTTGTCTGTGAAATATCTTTTTCTTGGACTGTTTTTTACAGTACGGTTAGAACATCTGCAGGAGAAAACTCTTAAAGAATGCAGCAGCTTAGGTAGGTGTCACCTTATTTAAAGATGTTTTCACTGAGCTTCTGCCTGTTCACATTCACATTGTTTACTCTCACATTGGTCACTTCTTTCATTTGATACTTTACATATCGAGAATCAAAGGTTACACTTTTAGAAAACCTCCTTTTAAAATATTCATGATTGCCACCAGAGGGCACCATTGTTTAGTCCTTGAGACATGAGGTTTCTGCCTTTGAGATGGTCTTAAGACTGAACAGTAGTAGGATCCTCTTTCTTTTGAGGTTCTTTGGAAGGTCCCCAAACCTGAATTAATAAAGAATGGCCACTTGAACTCTTCTTCTAAATATAGTATTCTATGCAAAGACAATGTGAGTAGGAATATGAAATGCTGTAATTACACTTGAAGCCAGTTTTAAAGTTAATAATTTCTTTGATCAGGCAATGATATCCTGTCTTAATCCTAGGGATACAAGTTGATGACTTCTTACCTAAAATAAATGGGAGCACAGAAAAAGGTAGCGTAAAAAACTTAAATTTTTTTTTTTTATGATATCCTTTTATTATTTAAGCAGGACAGAGAGCTAAATGCTTAGTGATTTTTAGTGTTTGGGATGAAACACATTTATAACTGTTCACATACCATTGAGTTTTGTCTTCTAAAATCCAGTTTCTTTTTATAGTCTAAGACACAAGATGTGATCTGTCCTTAGATATCCCTTGTTATGTGGAAATTGAGATAAGAAAATGGTGTTCATTGTTAGCTGTGGCTTTTGTATGTGGCTCTTACCTTCCAAAGAGCTCTACTACTGTTTGTTCCTTCATGCTCGGCTTCCAGGTCTCCATTTGCATTGTGTGAGCTTATTTAATGTCCCACTGGACCCTTAAACTACTTTCTTAATCCATCTGTTTTATTGATCAGAAAATGAGATTTCTCTAATCAGAAAAATCTTTTGGTAGTTTTTGGATGTTTGGAGTACTAAAGGAATAAAGTTATGTCCAGTGCATACTGCTGTGCTTATCATCTCATTTTAATATACAGGAGTTAGAAGAAGATATCAAGGTCAAAAATAGAGCTTCTAATGAAACTGTTTTCCACATATCAGGGTATATCTATCATTCATGGCAAGGGGTCAAAGTTAAGTAGTTTCTTTTGATTTGTTTTAACTAAAAAATGGGTGAGCTGGAGAGGTAACTTCAAGAGTTTTCTTAGTTTATGCCTTGGATTCAATTCCAGCATTACAAAAAGGAAAAAAAAATTCTTATAGTAACTGCCAAAGCAGGTCCAGATAATTGTGTATGTGTGAGCTATATGGTCTTGGTGTAATATTGCATATATTAAGCATTTTAGGATTCTAGAGAAAAAATTATCCATTGCTATTTGACTACTCTATGTGTTTTATAAAATGCCTTAAGTTTTTCAGATTTGAATTTCTGAGTTTCAATTTGAGAAATTTTAAAGGTGTAGTTTATATTCATTCATTTTACCAAAACTTTATTGCTATTCATTAAAAGTATTTAGCAAATTTTTGTTAAATGAATTAATCTTTGGAAGTACTCATTTTCCTTAAATGATTTTATGTTTTCCATGATTATTTTGCTTGTCTTTTCCTTTCTGATTGTATACTTTTTAATTAAATCTGTTATTTCCTTGAATAAGTGTCAAGTGTTGCATTAATGCAAACTGAGAACTTTTATTGTTTTCAATTAATAATCTTTATATATATACAAAACCATATTTTAACTAGAGTTGTCAAATTACTATGTAAAAGTTTGCCAGAAAATTTAGACTAGTAGACTGCTTTCCTATTAGCGAATAGTCATAGATTCCTTAATTTAATATTAAAATAAATTTTGTATATTGTTCTGGGAAACTCCTTGCTATAGTTATTCCATTGTTAAAGCATTTGGGTCTTTGTTGACAATAAATTAAGTAGCTTGAGAATGACTAGTAGGGCATTTTGACAGTAAGTTTTTACGTATACACAAATCTCATTATGCCACACTTTGTTGTGGAATGGACTTTGTAGTAAGATAATTTACCTTTTCAAACATCACCAAAGTTCTTAGCCATAGGATTTTTAAGTTAGCATCACGCTTTAAGTAGTAGAGAAAATACTAAGTATAGGTGCAAGAGGAAATGTCAGCAGTGTCTAGAGATGTTATAGTTCATACTGCTTCCAGTGAACTCTTTTTTGAAATGACTTAACTTTTTTACAAGCACAGATTTTATAGCATAAGTTTTTGTTTCATTTTTAAATAAGGATTATTTAAATATATATTAAAATAGAGAATAGTGTTGTCTAGAAGCAATATGAGAACAAATGTAAAGTTTAAAATTTTCTGGTAACTACAGTAAAGTTTAAAAAGAAGCAAGTAAAAACACATTTTAATACTAAATTTTATTTAACCAACAATATAAAAAATGTTATGTAAACATTTAACCAGTATTTTAAGATTTTTTTTTTTTTTTTTTTTTTTTGGTTTTTCGAGACAGGGTTTCTCTGTGTAGCTTTGCGCCTTTCCTGGAACTCGCTTTGGAGACCAGGCTGGCCTCGAACTCACAGAGATCCGCCTGGCTCTGCCTCCCGAGTGCTGGGATTAAAGGCGTGCGCCACCACCACCCGGCTCGTATTTTAAGATTATTAATGAAGCAGTTCACATTAATTTTCCTTAGGTATTTGAAATCATGTATTTATTTTATGCTTACCACATATCTCTGTTAGAATGAGTCACATTTGAATGCCTTGGTGGCATGTTCAATTAATGGCTACAGTAGCATAACTACAACATGGGTATATAGAAAACTGTAATCCATAGAAAACTCATTTATATAAAAAATTCATTATAAAAAGAATGGTTCTTTATGTTTCTGTGTTTGTCTTTTTTTCATTTTTTTAACTTTAACCAATATCATAGAGACTAGTTTTCCTTCCAATAAACATCTGATTTCTTTTGGATTACCAGTGATAATATGTTCTGTATTTGTGTCAACTTAATTTCTAAGGGCCTGAATTCAAGTAATAGACTATTAAGTGTAATGCTTGAAATGCTTTATATAGACTGTGACATTGTTATCTTACGCATGTAAAAGGTGCTTTTGTAGATATGGCACATATGTATTTATCTTTTTACTTTAATAACAGATGTTATCTAAGCCAGTATACTTAATATTTTCAGGGTTGGATTCAGATATTAAAAATATAGTACATAGGGCACTGGAGAGATGGCTCAGTGATTAAGAGCACTTACTGCTTTGCCATAGGATCCAGGTTTGATTCCTAGAACCCACGTGGCAGCTCACAACCACCTCTAACTCCAGCTCCAGGGGGTCCAACATCCTTTTATGACCTTTTGGGTTCTTCTATGTAAAACTAGAATAGATAAAGGGTGATCTTTGAGTAACAGTGAGTGTTGTGGTTACTATTCTGTTGCTCTGTAGAAAGATACCAAGACCGTATATGACCAACTATAGTTGAAGAAAACATTTAATTGGGGCTTTACAGTTGCAGAGGATGAGTCTATGTCATCATGGTGGGAAACATGACGCAGGCGGGCAGTAGAGAGCTCACATCTAATCTGCAAGTTCCATGCCAAGAGAGTGTGAGACAGGACTTGGCTTGGGGCTTTTGAAACCCAAAAGCTCACCCCCAGTGACACACCTTCCCAACAAGGCCACACCTCCTAATCTTTCCAAAGCAGTTCCATTAATTGGGGACCAAGCATTCAAATATGTGAGCCTATGGGACCATTCTCATTCAGACCACCTACAGGGATTCCCAGTTTTGAATAAGAGTCACCAGAAATTGATTAATATTGGTCTGAAATTTGGTTTCAGATAGTGTCATAAAGGCCTTTAGGTATGTTCAAGTTTGTTTCCAAGTAAGCTTTTAAACTTTTTGGTAAGCATACATGAAGGTTTCTGATGTTTTTGTGCATATATGCCCTTCCTTATTTGCCTCTTCACTGATTTTTTTTTCCCCCAGTGGTTCCTTTTGCTTTCATATCAAGTAAACGAGTGGGTTTAAGCTAGAGCACACAGAGAGATAGTTGTCTTTTTCCTCCCATTATCCTTTCAGGCTACTTCCTCACCCTACATAATCGCTTCCTACTTTCACAGCACATATGTTAGATATACATTTAAGTCTAGATTTTACATATGAAAGAAACTTGTGTTGTTTGGCCTTCTGAGTCTGGCTTATCTTGTTTAACATGCCGATCATCAGTTCCATCCATTTTCCTGCAGATGTTCTAATTTCATCTTTATGACTGCATAAAACTGTCACATATATGAACTATATTTTCTTTACCTACCCAAACACATTTTCACACTTAACGTGATATTGTGTAGTTTGAGTTTTGAAAGTGTTGTTTTAGTTTAGAGTTTATGTAAACCAACTTTTTACCTTGACATTTTCTAATATACTGGGGGTTTTTGTTAGCTTGTTGACAAATTCTATTTGTTAAAATTACTTCTTTAATTCCAGATTTTTGTTGCAGTTAACTTTTCATTTTTTTTCCATTTGGGGCTGTACTGTACTTTTTATGCATCTCTCTAAAACAAAAGCTATTTATCTTTCTCCCCCTGTTTAGCGTGGGCCCTTTGGGTACTGTGTGACTAGGAAAAGGGAAAAGACAACTTTGAAAGTTTCAGAAGGCAGTTACCAGGAAAGATGTCAGGAGGCACTGTCACGACAGTGAGTTGTGACAGATGTGCATGTGAATATAAGACAAGAGAAAAGTGGGTGGGTTGAGGGAGAAGAGCAGGAGTGGATGGTGAGAGCCGTGCTCAGTCCAGGTTTCAGTGCGTTTAGACCTTCCTGGTAGTGACTGTGTTGGAGCACAGCCTTTTTTTTTGGTTTTTCGAGACAGGGTTTCTCTGTGTAGCTTTGCGCCTTTCCTGGAACTCACTTGGTAGCCCAGGCTGGCCTCGAACTCACAGAGATCCGCCTGGCTCTGCCTCCCGAGTGCTGGGATTAAAGGCGTGCGCCACCACCGCCCGGCCAGGAGCACAGCCTTTTAACACTAAACCTTCGAGAATCTCTTGTGTACTTTTGAAAGACACAGATATGTAACTAAAGAATGTTATCTGGATTTACAAGTTAGCCTTTGATCTTTGAAATAGTGAAGATTGTTGTAAGAAAAGGGACTCCTTAATTACTGTGTTAATTTTTAATTTTCTTCTTTCTACTTTTTACAAAACTGGATTGTTTCTGATGTAAGCAAAACCATTAATGAAGCTCTTGTTCAACTGTGTAAAGCATGAGAATTTGGGGTAGAGATAAATAATGTAATTTTGTAATGGTATATATGGTATAGATTAAGGTACTTAAATGGGAAACTGTGAAAATGAATGTATAAAATATCTATCTCATCAATTCCTTAAAAATAAAAAAAAAATGATTGTATGGTAACCCCCTCCCCAACTTTTTTTTTTAAGTAAGGCTCATATTGTAGTTCAAGTTCTCTTGAAAGTCACTGTGTGGCTCGTGTTGGTCTCAAACTCATGGCAGTCCTCCTGCCTCATCCTCCTGAATGTTGGAATTTCAGGCATATGCTACCATGCCTGGCTGATTTTATACCTTCTTAAAGTTTTTACCTTTTACATCTTAATTAAGACCAACAGCTTTGAAGAGAGACTGTTAGAACATGAAATTATTTCAATAATAAAAACACAAAAATCACTTAAGAGGATTTGCAAACCTATCATGGAGAAAGGTACATATGAAAAGTGGAAAAAGCTTTTTAAAGCAATATATTTGTTTTGTTTGTTTTTTCAGCTCTTTGGATAAAAACTGCACCTTTAAAAGCTAGCCATGCAGAGGAAACTGGTGATTATATAAATTACACCTTTCAGTTATTGAGCTCTCAAGTATGTGTTAGAGTATAGCCAACTTTATTAGTCCTTTTCAATTACCTGTGTTAAAATATTTCATTTTTTTTAACCTTTGCTGTTGTTGTTTATTTCAAGACAGCAACAAACTATGTCCTTAAAGGTCTTTCTTTCTTTATTAGAGCACTTGCTTTCAAAGAGTGGCGGGGACTGCACTTTTATTCATCAATTCATAGAATGCCAGAGTGAGTAAAGAGTATTTTTCTCATTGATTTTAATGAAATCAGGGACTGAGATTAAGAAGTCAGAGGAAAAACAAGGAAATCAATCTATTTGTTGTAGTAGAAGTGTGCAAGTAACTAACTATCTTCAGCATCAGCAAGCCTGTTATTTTTCTCTTTTGAGAAAAGTGTTCTTATTGCAGTTGCCTCCACATATGGAGCAGAACAGATCATATTGGTGGCCCTTACACACACACACACACACACACACACACACACACACACACACACACACGTCTGTGTGCACAGAAACACAAAGGAAGAAATTTCAAGCTTGCTAATTAAAAGTCATTTATCAGGGAATAAAATAGACTGTCTGGGGTGTGAAGTACCTAAAGCTTATCTTTCTAAAGATGTTTATTTTTACGTGTGTGTGTGTTTGTTTTGCTTGTGTGTATGTCTGTGCACCATGTGTATGCAGTGCTTTCAGAGGCCAGAGGAGGGCTTCAGATCCTCGGAAACTAAAATTACAGAGAGTTGTGAGCCACCATGTGGGTGCTGGAAATCAAACCCAGGTCCTTTGCGAGAGCAGCTTTTAACTGCTGACACATCTCTCCTGCTCACAACTAAACTCTCTGGGGGGGGGGTCTTGATGAAGAAATATTGATAATACGGCTTCTTTATTCAAGATTTAGTTCTATCACAGATTGAATTTTGAGATTCCCTTATGTCTTAGATTAAATGAAGCTATTAAAAACTAAATAGTCTTTTGGGAATCTTGGCTCCACTGATGGCCCTCAGTATAGTATGAGCTTTTTATTTTAGGGCATAGGTAGCAATAAGTTGTTTCACATTCTGGTTTGGCTGACCACTGTTCACAAGCCCCCAAAGGCTGTCTTTAGGAATATTTAAGGTAGGCTGGCTCTTGGTGATTTAGACCCCTCCTGAGTTCTAAACAAAATGTAGTGAATCCTTTCTATTTGAAAACCGTATAGCAGCTTAAATCTCTAACAGAAAGTAATGACATTTTCTTGGTGGTGTTAGTAACAAGTAAACGTTTCCATATATACTGGAGTCGGGTTTATATGTATACTCTTTCATGTCAGGGAAATACTCTCAAGCATTTTTCCTTTCCTCTCCTTCTGAAATGAATGGTTTCCTAGTTTTTTATCCATATCTCATTTTGTGGCTGTCCATGCATATGTGTTTGCCCCATTCTTAACTCCAGGACAACTTGAGGTTATAAGGGCCACACCTCGAATTAGAGCATACTCTTTCAGTGGGTCACAGTTATAACTCCCAGGAGATATTTAGAAAAAATGTGTAATTGCATTAAATGCTTTTAGAAGAGCTGCTGTTTTTATTTTCCCTCTCAGTTTTAGATGCTGCAATAAAATAAAATTTAAAGTTATTTAAGGTAGTTTATCTAATAAATGTACCATTTTTCCAAACTCTTAATACTTGTGAACCAAAGACTGGTGTTTTTTTTTTTTTTTTTTTTTTTTTAAACTTTCTGACTACTGCATATCAGTTATAGGAATTGGGACAGTGATTTCTTTGGGGCAAGATGATTCATATCCACTGAAATCAGCAAGAGGACATAAATTTAAACCCAGACCCTAGAAGAAATCTTATACATATATGTGTGTATATATATATGTATATATGTATGTATAATGCTACTTTTACTTTTTTTTTTTTCAGCCTTTAGAATTTGTGTTTTGAGGCCAACAAATGAGAGGATTGTCCAAAGAATGTTTTGCTGAGTTGTAACTTTCAGAAGTCCTTATTTTGTTAGTAACAAATAAAGGTCACAGGCCTTATTCTTACCACTTGCGCATTTAAAAAAGGAAATGAAAACCCTTTTAAAATGTCTAATTTATATTATACATTCAATTTAAAGTAATATAAAGTGTAACTAGTTTAATATTTATTTTAAATGAAGAAAATCTGCTTAGAGATTTTTTTTTATTACATCACACTGATGTGGGAAAATGAGCCACCAGCAAGCATTAAGAAAACGCAAGCTATAGAAGTTACAGCAAATCCCCTCAATGAGAATGTTAACCCATCAAGTGATGTTCGTGCAGACCGTGTGACTGCATGGGAAAATACTGAACCTCTGGTGCACAGAAGGAAAGGCAGAATATAAACTGGTTCTTGTATACAAAGGCAGAGCAAAGATCAGGAAGCAAAACAGAGGGGCTCCTGCACATCTGGATTTTTTTTGTTTGTTTGTTTTTTCGAGACAGGGTTTCTCTGTGTAGCTTTGCACCTTTCCTGGGACTCACTTGGTAGCCCAGGCTGGCCTCGAACTCACAGAGATCCGCCTGGCTCTGCCTCCCGAGTGCTGGGAATAAAGGCGTGCGCCACCAACCGCCCGGCACATCTGGATTTTTAATGCAAATAGTGAAAGGTTCAACTCTGTTCTAGTGTCTGAGAGGGGCTTTGTTAGAACGTGGTTTCTGACTTTTAGGTAGCAATAGTTTTCTTTTGATGATTCCAGATTTTATCTCAAATTTTCCAAATTAATTTGGCTCCTAAATATATGATTACTGGAGCAAGGGTTACCTCTACCCTTGTTTGTTGTTAGAAGGGCCATGTAGACTTTAAGTTTAATGAGTATTACCACAAGCAAGGAGATCCAGCAAACCCCTTGCTCAGGTAAACTTACCAAAAGAGTTTTAGAGTAGTTTGGAATTATGTATTGACAGCCATACACAATCTCTTTTGCTGTTTTTAAATGGCTAGGCATCTTAAGTTGAGTGGTCTCTATCACAAAGTATGTATTCAGTGTGCAGTAGTACGTTAGATTTTTGTTTCCAGTCTTTTGAAAGGCCAGTGTCCATACCTTGTCTTTATTATTTACCAGGCTTATGTAACATAAGTCAGTGTTCTAAAAACTAAAACAGCACATGATTTGCTTCTATTGGATTCTTCATCTATATTAATTTGTTGGGAAATATTCAAACTTACCTGCATGAACCTGTAAGAGAGCAGCTTGATTTTGTAGAAATTAACTGAGCAGGAACACATTTCAATGTTTTCCTTGTATGGAAAGTCAGAGTATATTTAAAAAAAATTCTTTTAGAGAGTAGCTCTTAATCCTTGGGAAAGAAGGTGGGCTTTAGATAGGTTTAAGTATAACCCTATGCATAATTCCCAATCTGTAAATATTCTGTATAAAATTACATAAAGTCTGAAATTATCAGATAACTTCATTAAAACTTGTTAAAAAACTTTTAGCAAGAACTTATCTTCAGGAATGGAGGGTTTTGGAAGGACTGAGTTCCTTCCGTCTTCTGTAAACTTTAGTTACTTCAGTATTTGAGGTTTACTTTATAAACCTAATAGATGCATTGACACTTGCTGTGTTTTGCCAAAGTTGCTGTCTGGGCTGACATATTACCTGTGTGTGTTATTTGGTTCCATGAACTCTGTCATTTGACTAACTTAACTTGAATGTTGCGTGAAAAGATGAAGGGGAAACTCTTAAGGACACGAGGACATGGAGACCTAAGACCTTTCCTGGAGCACAGGGAAAGACAGTGTTCTCTGGACAGATGCCTGCCTCTTTGATGTCTCTGGCTGCTCTGTGTCCTCACAAGGGGAGAGATTTTGCTGCTGGATGCCAGAAAACTTTGCTCTCAGAGAGTCTGCTTTGTAGAGACAAACTGTCTATTTTCCTAGACTCATCTCCTTGATTGTATTACCAAGTGCCCTGAAGTGAAATTCATGCCTTTATATTCTTAAATCCATGTTTGTTTTCATTATCTTCAGGTGTTTTTTATTTTACTGTTTGCAAAAAAAATTTTCTCAGGCCCCATCCTCATTTTGAAATTATAGTCAGTTTCTGCAGGCTTCTTCCATTACCTTCTTCTGGGTAGGGCTTCACTCTCATTGAAACTGAGGCCTTATTTAGAGGAATCCAGTGAATCCGGGTTGCTGGGTAACTCAGTATTTACTGTGCATCACTCTATGAGGTCAGCCTCAGAACAGGCTCAGGGTTATTCGAGTACATACTCTACTTGAAACAGATTTTTAAACTTGGTGTTTAAAAAATTTTTATTTGTCTAAACCTGATCAGTTTATTTACGATAAAGAACAAGTAATTGTGGGTCTGTACTCAAAGTAGTTTATATCCCCATCATAGAAAAATGCTGCTTTGTTCAGAGTTTGGTGTTGCTAATATTTGATCTCTTTGTTCTTAGTTCGTCTGGTTTAGGATACATTGAAGGTTGTTGGCAGCTCTTTTAACACTTGAACTGCTGGAAGAGAACAATCGTAAATTCATTCCAATGCTATCTTTGCAGAAACACTCCTTCTGTTCTTGAACTTGGTCTGTTTTTTACCAAGTTGTTACCCTGTCTTTGAGTTTTGAATACTTTTCTCTCTTGCTTGTTCCTGTTGGTTATGCCGCCGAGCTGCCCCTTGTGGCTGGTCACCGCCCGCGGAGTTGTGTGCTGATTAAAAGAATCATAGCCATGGTTACCTTTTTAGAGCTTTATGGGGAGGGGGAGAGACAGAAAAAGACAGAGAGAGAGAGAGAGAGAGAGAGAGAGAGAGAGAGAGAGAGAGAGAGAGAGAGACCGACGGGGGGGGGGGGAAGGAGCACAAAGGAGAGGGGACAGAGAGAACCCACAGAGGGCCCACCCCCTTTTTAGGCTGGGAAGCCGGCAAAGGCTGATGACATAATTAAGGACGTAAATAAGGACCAAAACCTTACAGTTCCTCCTTCCTCTTGTTTTAAAACAGCTTCCAGAATGTCTTCTATAGCAAGAATTGCTTTAACTAATTTTACTTCACCAGAAATGAATACCAGTGTAGATATCTGAATTATTAAAATGTAAATGTGAAGCCCCTTCTATGAAGTTCTGAAGTTGCGTTTCTGCTAGTGAGTTGCCATTCTCTGGGGAAGATTAGTTGCTAGCTTGATGTTGAATACTAATTATAATTTAATTATATCTTAATTATAATGAGTTTATTTTTGGTATTTGCTTTTTAAAAAACAACTTTTTGAGTGA